GTGCAAGAAAAGAAAACTAAAGATTTTCAAATTAAAGAAAAATATGCATCATGTTTTCGATAATATTTTTGTGTATCTTTTTATGTAACATGGTTTGATCAATTTTTACAATGTTCCCCATCTAAATTGGCAGGAAAAAAATTTATAAAAAGTATACAGTTTTATAGCAAGTTAAGTTAACAAATCTACTTTTAACGAAGCTTGAAATAAAAAGTTTGCAAAATAGTGTATGTATAGATTTATGTTCTGTTGTTGTTCATTTACTATAAACAAGTATATGAATTTGGAAATGGAAATTTAGTTCAACGCCAATAGCAATTGTGATAAAGTAATTTAAGATCATTTAAAGTTCAGTCAAGCAACACCTGAAAATGGTCAACTTTTTGTTTAATATAGATTGCTGTTCCAAATACAAGTTGCAGATATGATCCAATACTTTATGTCAAGCAAGGTTCAGATTTTAAACCAAACAAACTTACTATCTGTTGATCTTCTGCTTTGTTTTGAAGTTATGAGTTCAGATAGATATGTAAAATATTTAGTTTAGAATTTTTTTTAAGGCTTTTAAGCTCAAACTAGTAACCAATGATGTGATTTTAAAGTTTTATTTTTACAAATTTTAATTTGAAAGGAGAACAACATACATTATTAAATAAGCTATAATTTGAATGCATATATTTAAATATAGGGAAGATCAATCGCCCCTATATGTATATATATATATATATATTTTTACATGTAAGTTTTGATTTATATGTAAGTCTGTACAAAGATATAATTTAATATAGCTTTATATTTTATTAAAAGTATGTTTTAATTATATTTTAATATGTTTTAATTTATGTTTTTAATTTTTTTTTTTTTTTTTTTGTGATACAAAAGATGTTTTGTTCAAAGCAGATCAGCCAACCATATAAAGGACAGATAAAACTGACCCTCATCTCAGGCTTAAGGGTCAATTAATGCAATTTTTCAAAAGCTTTTTTGAAGTATGCAACCCTGATGTCTTGATGGGCACAATCACATGGAAGTAATGTAATATTAAATTAAATATTAAAGTATAAAATTTGCATTTACTTTACTTTGCTCTAACATCAAGTAGTAATAAAAGTCCCAAACCATATTCAATTAAAAATAGGTTTTTAACTTGTAAGTGAATCAAATTAAATAAAAAAATTTTATTTTTGTTTTTTTAGATGTTACATATAGTGTAATACAAAAGGGATAGAATAATATCAAACAAAGTTGCTTGGTAGGGTATACTGGATCCATCCACTACTTCTAAAAAATCCTTAAAAACCACTATATAAAATAAAAAACAAGAGAATAGTAAAAGAATTCCTTTTATTTACATATTTAAGCAAACTGTTGATATAAAATTTTAACAAAAAAACATTTTAAAATTTTTTTATAAAACAAAGTAGGGGTAAATTCTACACGTTTTCATAAAAAATTCGAACGTACTTGAACGTTTTGTGTTAGCTGGGAGGTCATACATAACATTCAGATCGCAAACTTTAGGGTCATCCACATTTACCCCACACATTGTGCATAAAATTGGTTTGTCTGCGGCATCACTCATTGTTGTTTTTTTCATGTCTTTTCCCTTCCCTTTACCTGAAATGAAGACAATTTTCGGCTTGGTTTCAGCCTAATTTTCTTTAGTGAGCCTAGCAATGCATTTATCTGAAGTGAGGCTTTCACCACACTGTCTTTTTATGGCCTTTCCTCTCGTCTCCATTTGCCACTTCCCTAGTTTTTCATGAAAAGGTGTGAGATTTGACCCATGACTAAAATTGTCTTACTTGGTTGAAATTATGAATAATTATATATCTAATACCATATACAAATATTAATACTACTAAATTAACATCTTGCCTAAGGATATTTACAAGCAAAGGTTCAAATTGTGAAATTAAAAATTTTATTATATTAAACACATCCAAAAAATAAATGATGAATAATAAAAGTATAATGATCAATAAAAATGTAATTTAAAATGTATTTTAAAGTACATATATGGTACTTAGATTGAAGATGATTTTGGATTTCCAAAAAAAGTTTCATAAACAAATTTCTAAATCAGTATGGATACAGGAAGCATATACTTAGTGAGAAACAGAAAGTTGGCAATCAAAAACATGAACTAAAAGTGGTTCAAGTTTTTTTAGTTTATTTGTATTGCTCCATATCTTTTTAGAGGGTGGAATTTCCCCGGGGATAGAATTACTTTAGTCTAGCCTACAATTGTTTGAAATAAGTTTATATTATTTGCGTATTTAATTGCGACATTATTTTTGCCAATGCATTGTTTAATTTGATAAAGTTAGTACATTAACTATTTCTATTTGGTAACATTATGTTACTAATAACACAATTCAACTTTTTATCGTATCCCTTTTTTTTTTTTTTAATATTGAAAGTAGTTTATAATTTTCAAAAATTTTAAATCATTTGCTAACATCTTATAAAGAAATCTTTGTTGCAAGGCTTAAAATTTTAATAAGGTACCAAGTAGGCGCTTTTTATTCCTTAACTTAAATAGAACTAAGTTTCCGATTTTGGCAACCTGGTTAATAATACTGATTCATGGTGCAAATAAACCAGGTATATTTATATATTAGTGGTTAGAGCGCTTGCTTTATAAGCCGGGGATCTGGGTTTGAAATGAGCCTTTAATATAATTCGCGTCACAGTAAGGAAGGGCGCGTGAACTTTCTGGCTAAATCCATTTCCGCGGTGCTCTGTGACAAGACCGTTAGGACTTCTTGGGGCACATAAATAACAAAATTTGATTGCGATTCAATAAATATTTTAAATTTTGATTGCGTACATGCCACTAGCTGAACTAAAATTAATGTCATTGTTGTTTTACATAGCCCATAGATTAGTAAAATTTTTTTAAAACGTCCATAAATCCAAATAAATGTCATTAAGTAAAATTAAATGTAGGTTCGAAGTCAGCTAAGGTTTGAAGTTGGCTGGCCGTGTATATACTACTTACTTTCTTTTCAGCTCAAGTCCTCTACGTCTTTTTAATATTTCACTACTGATCTCTCGTATAAACTGTATATTCAGTCCATGGGAAAGTCACTAGTAATACCTACTATGACCGGACCCGGGTCTTGTTAAGTCTGTTCAACATAGACCATTTCTATATTATTTGTTTGGCCTGTTTATTTCATTAATTTTTAGTAAACGGTCATTTGCTATCATTTACTAAAAATTCCTTTTGTTACTCAAAATTTAATTTTCCTAAATATTTTAACACAAGTAAAGAGGTTCCTCCCCTCTTCTTGCTTTCATGGTGGCCTGGTGAGTAGGTTTTTTTTTATTAAGAGTAATCAAGTTTTTCTTTAACTAAAATAATAAAAATGTAAAACAATGATTTACATTTTTATTTACAAACAATTATTCTTTCCTCAAAAGTGTTGCAAATGCAGACAAAGCTAACTAATTAGTTAAATATGTAAATAAAACATAAGTAAATGAATATTTGACAAATGCGCAAAACTACAGTATTCTCCATGTTTTTAAAGGTTTTTAGTTACGACCCCCCGTTTACAAAGATCCCCTAAGATACGTACAACAAGTTATTAGGCATAAAATATAAAAAAAAATTGAACTAATTGCATATATTTATATCTTTTTAACTAACAAAAACTTACAATAAAAGGAAATCAGGTTTTTTTTTATAAATCTTATGTGTCCTAACGTAAATCTAAAATAAAAAGTAATGGAATTACATCATAATTACAAAAAAAAACAAAAAAAAAAACAAACATCAAATTTCAAAATAAGTAACTATAAATTGGTAAATCGATTTCATAAAAATTGAAAATCGATTTACCTATTTATAGTTACTTTAATTGCAGTTAATATAAACTTTTATCAAAAATGTAACTATAAAATCTGTTTTGAAGTACAAAAGGATTAACAAAAAAAAAAAATCAAACTAAGATTTAAATTTAACTTTTAGCAAAATGTTGTCTTCGTTTTTAGTAAATAAATAAAAGCATTAAATTCCAATAATGTAACTACCTATGATTCATTTTTAACAATAGACGCCAACGGGAAGGTAAGCCAAGCTGTCTATCAAAACAAAACATCACAACAATAACACATAGCAATAAAATCCAGTGAAAATAACAAACTAAATTAAAATATGAAAGGCAAAATTAAAAAATTATTTTAGAGTTATATTTATCTTTTTATTAAACTTTAAATAAAGTATATTTGTTTTTATATTCAATATTAGTTATTCAATTATTTCAAATTTAGGACATTAAAGCACGCTAGATTTAAAGATTAAGGTTGCATACTCTCTCATACACATTACGCTAAACATTAACAGACATTATGTGTTTTCAGAATAATTTAAAAAGGCTAGACAACTCAACCTAGCTCTAAAGCAGTAACACTGCCTAGCATTAAATGCTGCCAAGTCACACCTCTGCTATAAGTACACCGCTTGGCTGGCAAGGATATCAAACTTGCTCAACATAATACCAAGTCACACCACTTTGAAAACATAGAAACAACTCAATATAAACATATATACAGCTATAAACAAATATGACTTTATATAAGACATATAAATACATTTTATATTAAATGACAGATATTTATCAAAAACTACGGGAAAAAAAAATAATAAAGTTACACATGCTCACAACCTTTAACAGAAAATTTTCGAAATAAAAATCTAAAGATAATTAATTAAGAACAATAGAAAGTATAACACTATTTGTGTTCACTTTTCACCTTGATAGGATGTTTAACAATTGTGAAAAACAAACTATGAAATGCTCTAGTTTTTGAACATGCAAACATATAGTTGGCTATGAGAGAAACACGACCTTTGAGATATGTCTTTTGTCTATAAGTTTAATTTCGCATTATGTAATATATGGACGATCTCTAAAGTAAAATACTTGAAACTAAAAAGATTTTCTTTATTACAATATTTGAACAACCAAGGGACAACTATAGTTGAACAATTTAAAGAATTATATCTTTAAATAGCAACTCGTAAAATATATCTTATAAATGGTCATTATCAATCGTAGTATTGAAAAATGCGCAAGAGCTCAGTAATTACACGAGTTTTATCAATTCTCCCTGTACTTACTGTCATTTAAGTCTCATCTAAGAGAGAGAGAGAGAGAGAGAGAGAGAGAGAGAGGAAGTGTTTCAAAAGCAGCATGTTAAAAAAAGTAAAAAAGATATGCAATAAAAAACAGTAACTGATTTTATGCTACCAATAAACAAAATTATTTTTACCTGAATTAAAAGTTAATTTCCAGCATTGCTTAATTAAGATTCAGCTTCTCTCTAACTATTGACTAATGATTAATAAAGTAAATTTCACATCATATTAAATTTACAAAATTAAAACCATGTTTCAACAGTAAGCAAAATAATCAAGTGATTGAAAGGCAACTAAAAAAAAAAGAACAAAATATTTGGAAAAAAAAAAAAAAAAAATTAAAGTCATTTAAAATTGAAACTGTTATTAATTGTTACTATAAATAGTAAAATTCATACCTTGCTTTATTCTAAAGTGTCTAATGTAAAATAAAATTAATAGACATCAACACCGCTTGACAATGAATTCTGGCAAGTAAGTTTTCTGCTCATCGAGCAGAATTTCTTACATTTCAACGACAATTAATTTTATCAGGCCTAAATCTCTTTCATTTGACAACAATTTTTTTTCAAGTCACCTTTTACACTAAAAACATCTTCGAGCCTAATATTATACATCTGTTATCATTAAACACATTACCAGTGATTATACTACTGTTACAAATGAATAAATGAACTTAAAATAATTTTATAAATTGTGATCTTTTCTAATCAAAGACTATATTTTAAATTAAGATTTATTGATATTCATATATTTTTTTTAAGTTTATATAAAGAAGTTGTTCATTAAAAATATAAAACAAAATTTTTTACATTATTTTTAATTTAACAAAGAATTTAGACTACAATGCACAAAGTTATTTTTACCTTCAGGCACAATCTTAATGCGCAAAAATAATAAATGCAGAACCTTTTATAAAAAAAGAAG